TGTGGGGCCCTCAGGCGAGTCAAGAAAACCAAGGCCCTCTCGCGCGAGTCTGAATGCCCCTTTCTTGTATCTTGAGCGTCTGAGACCCCTCCTTCTGCCCTCCTTGCTCTAAGTCTAATCTTGTTTTGAGAGGAAGGGCGGCAGGCGGGATTGCAACGTGTAGGACCGCAGCAAGGCTCTGTGGGGAGTCAACCCACCGATTGCCGGAGCTCTGTCGGAACTCAGGAGGAGTTCTGGAGGCAGGGAACTGAAAGGTAACCTTTGCTTTCCCTCTATAAACCCAACTTATAACCCAAATCTGAGCTACCCTTGGTATGTTTTGATTGAGTATATTGTTTGTATCCCTACTTTGAGTTTCAGTTTGGCTTCAGGACATGACTCAGATTAAATAAAGGAAAGCATGTAAAATCAGTTTCAGTTTTGCTGATTGACTGAAAGTAGATTGTGAAAGAGAACTGGATCTGGGAAAGGCAGGATGGAGGGCTGAATTGCATGAGGTTTGACTGGGTCGTTAAGGCTGGGAGGTCCCCATAAGTTTGGGGAAGCCCAGCGCTTTGTTTACTTTTGGTTTGTATGGAGCCTCAGGCCGCTCTATAAGTTTAGGTAGCCTGAAGCTCTGGAGGCTGGGATGTCTTCATAAGTTTGGGGAGACCCAGTGCTGTGAATTGCATGGAGGGTCAGGCCACTCTATAAGTTTAGGTGGCCTGACTGCCCTGACTTGTGAAGGGTTTGATTGCGCTTGATTTTCAGGGACTCAGGGCGCTCAATAAGTTTTGGTGCCTTGAGTTGCCTTGTTTTCTTTGGGTTTTCTCAGTTTTTTTGGTTTTTGAATGGGGAGGCTGAGCTGTTCTATAAGTTTAGGTGGCTCAGTCTCTTCCTGCATTTATTTGAGAAAGGGAACTTGGCAAAGGGGCAGACTGTTCTGTAAGTTCAGGTGGCCCAGCCCAATGCCACGCACATGATGGTTTAGAGAGAAAGGAATCAGGTGGAGAGGCGGACCCTTCTGTAAGTTCAGGGGGTTTGACTCAAAGCCTCGCACATGCTGGAACCCAAGGTTATAATTTGGCTAGACCTTATTACTACTCTATTTAAGAACAGGCTAGCCAGGCACGGGTTCCATAAGATTGGACGGCCTGGCTATAGCTTATCGTAAGTTGAAGAGAGTATAACTAAGAGTAAAACTGAAGGTAACTTGGGCCGGCTGAGCATTGTTTCTAAGATGAATGGCTCAGTCCTATGCCCACCTTGAAGATAAAAGTTCAGAGAGATATATACAATTGGGATATTAAGCAGTTCAGGGCGACTGAGCATTGTTTCTAAGATGAATGGCTTAGTCATGTGCCCAAAAGAAGAGAAAAGTAGTTGTGCAACCTGTTCGTGTATACTTGATGGTTGAGTCAGGCATGTTCCATAAGATTGGATGGCCTGACTTTACACCTTATGTAAGCGGGGTATAAAGGGTTAAATCATTGAAGGATTATGAACTATTGTCTGCTAAGTTGACTTGGGGATGGCGAGAGTACTTACGTTTGTGGTTTGGCCTGCATGTGACTGAGTGAGGCTACTACTTGGTCTGGGTTTCAGTTTGACAGGTAGTTGCTTTAGAGGCTCGCCACGTGCTAGGAGTTAGTTTTGATTCCTGCATTTTATGAGCTAAGTTTTTTTACTTAGATCAATTCTTGCATTTTGTGCGATTTTTTATTATACTTGGCTTTGTATAAATTTTGGTAAGCTATTTCTTTTACGGGAAGCGTTGCCGAAATTTCTGCAAACCAAGTTGTTAGTCAAACTTTGAGAACTTTCTAAAGTTTATATATGACTTAGTAAAAAACTGGAAAGTCTCATTTTCTAAAGGGATTGCTCCCCAAATTTTTGCTAAATTAGGAAGTTAGACAAAATTGGACCTTGGAAAGTCAAAGAGTATTTTTGGTTTCATATCTCGGCTGATATAAATTATGAAAAGGCGTTTTTTCTGTGGGAAGCGGTACCAAAATTTTCTTAGTTTAAAGGAGATAGATTATATTTTGACAGGTGGCGATTCTGGCGATCCACCCTGAATAGTGGAGATTTTGCCATTAGTCTACCTTTGCTTTGGGCACATCTTAAGGGTAGATTCAGGCCTAGTTAAACATGATAATGTGAGTGAGATCGCGATATGGGGATTATTCTCCATTGACTTATAGATTTAGCCTGGGAATTGGTCTGTCGTGTGTTACAGGTCCTCTTGACCGTTTGATTCAGGATTTGGACTAGATTCAGCTTGATCTTACGAGGATCATCTTCTGTTATCGCTGATAACAGGTTSGTTGCCGATTCGTCGGTTTACGATTCAACTCCAATTCACTCCTGCCACTCAACCTAAAGGCTTAGCCTTGTGATTGAACTGTTTCATTGTGTTTTTACTCGGACTCTATTGAATGGCTATCCAACAAAAGTACTGAGTATTTATTTAAGAGTTGCACGAGTGAGGATTGTATGGCTAAAGCCAGGGGTATGAGTGCAAGAAATGGTTGAAGTTGACCCCGTGTAGTGCGTGGACTGTTGATTGAATCTTTGATGTAATTGCAGGTGCGTTTGTGGTTCGGACTCTGGATGTGATTGCCTGTGATTACATACATACATGGTTGAGGGGAGCCCCACTGTGATTGTGAGAAGTGGTCGTCCTATATAACTAACCCTTATATACTTACGAGTGCCCTGAGTGTTTGAAAGGCCTACTGTGGTTGTGCCTAAGGGTTACCCTGATTATGTCTTGAGAGAGAAGTGAGATTCCCCTTTTATCCTTTTTGCTTGTTGGAGATTTTTATGATTGGACGTTGTAGTCCATGGCAGCCGCCAAAGTCAAACCCCTTGACTTTCGCCCAAGCCCGGAGTGAGGCTCATCTCCAGGGCCGCAAGAAACGACTGCCACCACAGGTATGAACCTGTGTACCACCCGCTCTGCACAGTGTGCAAAAGAGGGTGTGTGGTCTTCAACCGCGCTTGGCGGTTGTCCAGCGTCGAGAGATTAGCCCTCAAGGCGCGTGTCAGCTGACACTTGAGTGTCGAATGCAACCCTCAAGGTTAACGAGGACCGCGTGAGTATGGGTACTACATAGTACGCCATCGTTGCGACTGCTTGTGTATGTTTGCATTTGCGAGTCAATATGAGTTAGGCCTGCGTCCGCGCGGTTTTATACTAAGTCCCGCGCGCGACGTTCATTTCATTTCCGCATCGAAAAGTTATGGGTTGTCTACCGAGGGGCTAGGAGCATTGTCACGTTGTTGTGTGTTGTGTCGTTTTGTATATATGTGTGTGTGTGTTCTATTTTTGGGGTCGTAAAGTGGTGTGCGCGTGGTGTGTGGGGTGCGTCCTAGTCGACCGACGACGAGCCACGCTTGGGACTTCAGGCCCCCAAGATGTCGGTTCGCGTGCGGGTCCGATAGGCGTATTACCGCGCGTACCCCCTATGCTACAGCGAACGAGAAACGCCCTCGGCTGGTCCACCTCTGCGATTGCAACTCATCAGCTTTCGTACTGTGGACTGGTAGCTCGGCGGGGATACGCCCACCGAAGCGAGGTGACAACTCCCGTAAGGTGGATGTAAGTTGTGCCTCGCGTAGGCCCTATCCTGTCGTAGGGGCTCGCGAGAGGTATGGCTTGCGCACTCGGCCAAAGCGGCCTAAGGAAGCTCCATTTGTGTGTTCGCGACGAGGTTGGTCCAACTCCTGCGTGACGCGGCCGAGAGGGTCCCGCTCTGCCGCACGCGGTGCCGGATTGATGCGCTCGACAGCGGTAAACCTCATCTTTCTGATTCGGACGGATGAGCGTACGAAGCATCATTTGAGCCGTCTGATGTGCCCGCTCCGTCTGCCCGTCTGTCTGTGGATGTCGAGCCGGACTTGGCTTCATCTTCGTGCCGGACTCCTGCATGAGAGCAGTCCAAAATGCCGACATGAAGCGAGTGTCGCGGTCGCTGACTATGTCTTCCGGTACACCGTGGCCACAAATCCAACCGGTGTGCGAGAGGCGTGCCAGCTCGGGAGCCATGGAGTAGTACTTGCAAGGGAGAAAACGCGCATACTTACTCGAATGGTCCACAACCGTGAGGATGCCGACGTGTCCGAGGCAATCGCGGGGGAATGGTTCGGTGACATCCATGGCAATGGAGAGACTGGGTTCCTACGGGATCGGTATCGGGCGCAGCTCGCCGTAGGGGTTGCTATTGCGGGGTTTGCTTTGTCTGCAAACTTCGCAAGAGTCGCAATACCTCGTGACGTTGGTGATGAAATCGGGCCATCGGAATCGTTGTCGAAGCCGTGCAATAGTGTGGTTGACTCCGAAATGGCCGGCGAGTCGCGAACCATGATGCTTGCCGAGGACGTGAGTCCGAAGACGGCGGTCGCGTGGGACACATAGTAAGTCCTTGCCCCGCGAGTGCAGGAGCAAGTACCCATTGGCGATGCGATAGTGACTGGCCGGCGGGTGATCCGAAGATAGCTGCGCATATAGCGTGGCGAAGTCTGGATCGGACTCGTAACCCTTGATGAAGTGTCGCTGGAGCTCCTCGTCGAATGCTAAGGCATGATGTGTCATAGCGCAAAGATCAGGTCTTCGCGAGAGTGCATCTGTTGCGCAATTGGAGAGGCTGGGAAGATGTTTCGGTGTGAAGTTAAATTGGTCGATGAAGTACATCTATTGTTCGATCGCGCTGCTCACCGTATCTTGCGTCTTGTAGTAGGTCAATGGATTGTTGTCTGTGACCCATGTGATCCTACGACGCCCAAGGAGGAAGTGTCGTCAGCGCTCGAGAGCAATTAGGAATGCGAGCAGCTCCTTCTTCCTTGCATCATCAAGCGAGTTGATGGGAAGCACTTTGTGGCTGAAATACTCCACAGGGTGCCAGTCATCGTCGTCGTGCTGTTCCAAGACTGCCCCAATGCCATAGCCGGAAGCGTCCGTAGTCACTCTCGTCGGCAGGGTGGGGTCATAGACGCTAAGGACAGGTGCCACGAGCATAGTCGTCTTAAGTGCTTGGAATGACCAACGTGCGTCGTCATCGAATACAAATGGCGCCTTCGGCGATTGTAATCTCGTCATAGGTGCAGCAATCCTCGAGTATCCGGTGATGAATCGCTAAGAGTAGCCCGCCAATCCCATGAATGAACGAACGTCCGTGGTGTTGGTGGGTCGGTCCATACTCGTAGGGCCTCGATCTTGTCCGCAAGCGGACGGATGCCTTGCGGCGTCACATAATGTCCTAAGTACTCCAGCTCCTGCCGCGCGAATTCGCACTTGTCGCAGTTGGCTTTGTACTTGGCCTGGCGTAGTCGCTTTGAAACGGTGCGCAGGTGTTCCACATGCTCGTCCAAACTCTGGCTGTACACCAGGATGCCGTTGAGGTAGATAAGTACGTATCGATCCAGCATGTGTTGGAACTCCGTTGTCATGGCCGCTTGGAAAGTGGCCGGGGCATTCGTAAGGCCAAATGGCATAACCAACCATTCGGAATGCCCATATCGCATCTTAAACGCGGTCTTGTAGCGATCCTCCTGCCGAATCTCGAGTTGGTGATATCCCGACTTGAGATCAAGCTTGGAGAAGAACTTGGCGCCGCCCAGTCGCTCGAGAAGATCGTCGATGCGTGGGATAGGGCCGGCGTTTATGGTCGTCTGCACACTTAACTCTTCCTCGCTTGGAGAAGAACTTGGCGCCGCCCAGTCGCTCGAGAAGATAATCGATGCACAACCCCAAATCCTTGTTCTTCTTCCGAACGAAGAGAACAGGCGCACCGTATGGTGCTGAGCTAGGCCGAATCCAGCCTTTCTCTAGAAGGTCGTCGAATTGTGCCCGAAGCACACTTAACTCTTCCTCGCTCATTTGGTAGATGCAACCGCGNGGAGGTACGGCCCCGTCCTCGAGGATGATCTCGTGGCGGATGGGTCGATCCGGTACTACATGCGGGTCTTCGATTACGTCGCCGTAGGCATCGAGAAGCTCGGTGATGCGTGGATCCGAAAAAGAGTTCATCGATGAAACGTCATGGGGCGCTAGGGCGTGGAGAAAACACACCCCCATCTCCTCGATGTCGTCTCATATGATGGAAGCTCAGATGCTTGTGGCGGATACCACGTGGCAGCTGATCGAAGGATGAGGAAGAGGCACCGTGCATGGGACTAGTACTCCGTTTCGATCACGAATATGAACGGTGCGGTGGTAGAAGTTCACCGGGTGATCCTCGATTCGCAGCCATGACATGCCCAAGATCATGTCAAATTTGGTGTCCAGAATGTCATAGGACACTGCCTCACTTTCGTGACCGGCAAAGTACACTGGGATGTCATCGATGCACCAGTCGATTGACTTGTGTGTGTGACCGTCCGCCAACGTGACTTGCGTAGGCTGGGGCTTCCTACGGATGCGTGGGCCAAGGCCGACGCGCACCATGAAGTCCTGGCTGATGTAGTTGCGAGATGCTCCGCAATCGATCAAAGCGCTGCAGGTCGCTTCTCTGATTTGAATGCGTCCGTATAGCAATGGTGCGTCGATGTTGTCGTACCGTTGGGTCTTGAACTTGCGGTCGATCTTCACAATGTAGGCGTGAAGGTCGACAACCTCTACTCCGGCGTCCATCAACGGAGTCGGTACTGCAGTGTGCAAGTAATCCCGCAATTGTGCCATGAGCACGTGGCAATGCGGTTTCGGCAATGGACCGGTCGGGGGAACGGGCATCCACTGGAAGTCCGTGATCGCCAACGGGTCGAGCTCTTCAAGTCTTGACCATGCCGTCGAATCCCTGGCGATAGATTGCGGCGAAGCTGCCGAATTGGTTGCCGATTGGTGATGAAACCGTGCATGAGGTAGATTGTTGCACGTGGAGCAGTTGGTCCAACGGCGGGACCAAGTGGACAGCATAGTCCTCATACGTGTACCGAGAACTGACGACATTCGCATCCTCCCCAGATGTGTAGGAGGCTGCTAGCAAGGCGGTCGAATCTGGCGGATTGGGAGGTGGAGTCGCCTCACCTCTCGCGAATCTCAGTTTCCCGAGTTGAGACGAGGCCGCACATCACAGCTCGCAAAACTGCATTTTTTACGAACCAGATCCGAACCAGATTTGCTTTTCAAAAATATCTCTAACCAGATCCAAACTGGATATGGAATTCAAACAATTTTCAAACTGCATCTAACCCAGAACTGTGTTTTCGATTTTTTTCCACCTGTGCCCGACCTCGCTGGGAATGAGAAAAAATGCTCAACTGCATCCAACCCAGCCCAGGCCCACCAATGGCCAACCACGTGCGCCCATGCCCCACTTCTGCCCACCCTTGCCCCACGTGTACCTACGTCGATGTAAGGAGAACCACGGCTTACTATGTGGCTTTACCAAATACTAAGGAGAAACAAAGCTTAGTACGCGACTTTGCCTCGTACAACAAAACAGTCTACTCCAGCCACGTCGATGCCCCGCCACGTGGCAGAGCACCGATATGGCAGTGCATCGACGTTCTTGCGCTAGATTTTTTTTTTGTTTTTTACTATGCTAATGCAAAGAAGAGCAATCGTGTGTACTTTTCTTCCTTACCTGCTGCTGTTGACGCCCAACCACCTCTCTCTCTCTCTCTCTCTACTGAGAGTTACTGAGGTACTTACTACTTAAATATAGAGGAACACATATATTATATATTATATATCGCTATACATATATATATTGTCACATAACATTAGGAGGCCTAGTTCGGGTCACCCGTGGAATTTTCCACCCAACTGTGGTCCGTAACTGGGCTGTCCTACCAGCTGGCCGGCCCAGCCAGGGCTGGCCCTTTCAAAATTGCACCTGAACCAAGCCCGTCGGTTGCAGCCGGGCCGGGCGGTTTGCAGCCACGACCACCTGATTGCAGGCTCTGCCGCACATCCACCTTGGCCTGATCCTGGCAAAGGGAGGTCTTGTGCTTGGTGCTGTTGCACCAGTAACAGCAGCTGTAACGGCCGCGGTACTTGTACTCGGGCTCGGTCAAGCCGAACTTGACCCATGGTGGCGCAGGCTGTCCATTTCCGGCCGGCGATGCTGATTTCGCCTCCCCGTTACCTCGGGACTTGTTGTTGCTTCACGGCTGGACAGCAGCCACCTGATCTCCCTCACGTGTCGCTTGGGTGGCTGCCGTGTCTTCTCCACTGATCGATTGGACTGCAGCGACATGCTGCGGCCGTGGACCAATCTTTACCTTCTCCACATAGGTCGGCTGCCATGTTGACCTCTCATGTGCAGCCGCCCTATTGGTCTTGATGATCTCTCTCGCTTTGTCAATAATCTCGGGGAAAGTTGCATACTGCTCGCGATCACCAAGTGCCTGGCTCAATGCAGCGCATGACCTGTTGTAGAACTCACGGCTCAGATCCGGAAATGGTAAGTCAAGATCGGGCGTTGCCGCGATCTTCTGCCATTCTGTGAGCCAGTCACGTGTCGCTGTGTTGCCTTGAGTCATGGTGAAGAGACGGTTGATGGCGAGTGCTGGTGCGTCATCGACGATGAACCGCTTCTTCCACAGCCGTGTTAACTCTTCCCATGTGATCTTGTCTCTCAGATCTGCAACGTCGACGCCGTGGGTGGCTGCCAGGTGGGTTAACCGGATCTGGCATCCGCCCTTTGAGTTCATGAACAGGGCGCTGATGTACGCGTGCTTGGCAACAGGCAGAATCCGAAGTTGCGTCGTGAAAGCTTCCCACCAGAGCATCGGGTCCTGATGCGTGTAGTCGTCGAACTTCTCAAGTTGAAAAGTTGGCGTCTTGTATTGCTTTGGATTGTTGCCATCCGTGTTCGTCAACTGCAGTTGTTGGACCTCGGTCTTCAAAGTATCCAGCTGATTGTTGATGGTGGTCGGCGCAGCGAAGGTGCTGATGTCGCCGAGCATTGCGACGACGTGGTCGACGCGTTGCTCCAGTTGGCGGTTAGACGGTGCACTGCTGCACTCACCAGCATCTGGTCCTGGTACGGCTTGCTCCGTGTCCAGTACACGGGAATTTAGTGCCCGTGTAGCATCCTCGTGGCTCTGCACTATCCGGCGGAGGTTCGCCAACTCCTGGTGCTGTGTCTTCAGATCCTGGTACTGTTGCTGCAGTTCTTGGTTCTGTCTCTCTAACTCGGACTGTTGGTAGTTGCAAGCGTACAACAACCGTGTCACGAGTTTGGAAGGAACTCCTTATGCTTCTCTTCTGGTGTCGCGTCGTCGCCGTTGGACGGTTCAAAGTGCCAGAACTTGTCTTTCGATGCTGGCAGCTTCATGCCGCTGCAGCAGATCCTGGGCCTCCTTGCGGCGTGGCTGGGTATCTGCGCCTGCTTCGGCCTGTAGGCGCTGCTTCTCAGCTGTTGCCGCTGCTTCAGCCTGTAGGCGGGCAGCCTCGGCTGCCAGCTGGCGCTGTTCCTCAGCCTCGATCAGAGCGAGCTGAGCCTGGAACCGCTGTTTGTAGTCGGCAAGAGACTCGTTGGCCAGTTGGCCTGGCATGCCCAGAGCTGCGCCCATCATGGTGGCGGGGCACTGCTGATGTGGCACTGTTACTGCTGACGTGGTACTGCTGATGTGGCATTGCTGACGTGGCACTGTTGCTGACGTGGCACTGTTGCTGATGTGGCACTGCTGACGTGGCACTGCTGAGGTGGCACTGTGTGACGTGGCAATGCTTGGCAATGCTGACGTGGCACTGTGAAGTGGCACTGCTGATGTGGCACTGTACAAACCCGGAAATGCATGCAAAGGGGTGGGTGGGAGGGAAAACGTAAGTAGGCAACCAACCCAACAATACTTTCCTCCGGCCCTAATCAACAGATAATAAAAAAAAATAAAAAAAATAAAAGAGGAATACTTCCCTTTTTTTTTTTTGTATATCTGTCGATCTGTTATGAGTGGGACATGTCAGGAGAGTACTATAAAAGAGATCTAGGCTAGGTTCCGCAAAGTTTCGGCTTTCACAAAATGCGATCTTGAAATTTTTTTTTGCGAAATGGAGTAAAGATGCGGTTTTTTCAGAAAAGAACAAAATCCAGTTTATGAGAATATGGCAATCTCCGAATATGCCTAACGAATATTGGTAGGCTTCGCAAGATTTCGGTTTTCCAAAAAAAAATTTGGCGAGATAGAATGGAAATTCGATTCAGCTTTGCAGTAGCAGATGCATATTCCAGGGCTCGATCCCTATACCTTACCTCACCTGTGTACAGTACCAAGTTGACCCCTGTGTGTTTGAACCTGTGACCTGTGTCGCGGTAGCTGACTGTTGTCTGTCGTGCGCCTGTGTAGCTGTCGGGTTTTGAACCGTAGGTCTGTCGAGTTGGGGTCTTAGTTGTTGCAACTTTGAAAGGTCAAGGTCGTAACTGCTTCAGTCCCGAAAGGCCAAGTACACAGACTTTCGGAAGGTCCGGAACTCGCCTTTCGAACGTTGCTCACGTTAGACCAGACGCAAGTGGGCAAGTGGGTAGTCCAACTTTGCTTAGTCAGCAGTACCCAGTTCCAGTCTCACTTTGTCCAGTCAGCAAGTACCATGTGGGACTGTGTGCACCATGGGCCCGGTGGAAAGGGGCAGACCAGCGACCAAGGAGCATAAATCAAGAGGCAGCGTCCAGCCATGGATTCATTCTGCGTGAGCCATGCGGAAGCACTGCCTGAGCGTGGTGGTCTGCAGATGCCCGAAGTCGAAGTGGGCTGCGAGGAAGACAGTGGCCATAGCTGTTAGCTGGTGATAGTGGTAGAGCGCAGCCATAGCTGCGATAGGTTAGCGATAGGGTCTAGCGTGCATGTGCGAGTGTGTGGTGTGAAGAGAGCGTGCGTGGAACATCCGGGGAGATCCAGCGTGGTGTGCGTGTGAAGAGTTGTTGATTATACAGTGTTGTGAGGGCGCTCAGGCGCCGTAGCCACTTGAAGTGAGTTTGAATCTGAACTGTGTTCTTGGCCTTGATATCTCTGAGCGTTGTGTGGGCGCCTGGCGCCAGTGTGAGTTATCACCTGTTTGCATGCATGCGAAGTAAGGGGAAGACGAGTCTGATTGCACAGAGTTGCAAACTGTGCAAAGCAGGCACACGGCTAAAGAAACAGAGAATTTTTGAAAAAAGTATGATTAACTTTGAACTTCGAACTTTGGATTTAGTAATTTATGTTCATAACTTCATATTTAACTTAAAATGTCGAACTTTGCAGTTCAATTCAGAACGTCAGTCTTCAGACTGGCAGCACTGCCAGTGCTCTCTCTCTCTCTCTCTCTCTCTCTCTCTCTCTCGCCCCCCCCCCCCCCCCCCCCAACGGGCAGCAGCGGCGGGCGGCATGTCGAAACGACCGCTTCGAAATTGCTTGGGCCTGTGTGAAACCCGCCACCCCAAAAACACGCAGTGTCTTGTGTCCGGACCTCTAGGCCCTGGCCGGTGGGGTGAAACGACACTGAAAAATCACCCCGTTATTTTTCGAGGGGCGGCCAGGACCCGATAAACATCCTCCTGGGCTGCCCCATTTTTTAATTGATTTTTGCCCCGGGGGCCTCCATCCGGACATAATGACCGGACACCGGACACCGGACAATGTTGTTCCGGACTGTCTGGAACCCGGTCAGGACGTTCGGACGGTTACCATGACATATAGCCGCTTGTTTGTTGTCCTCTTCTCCCTCTCTGCCTGCAGTTTACCGGGCAGCTCTGTTAGACGATATGTAACAATATGTGGGAATCACCATCCAGGATGGGTTCTTTTTGGTACTTCTTTTGATTTTTTTGCAGACAAGAATGTTTTGACATCCTGGTTGGTTTTGTCCCGTCGTTTGGCCTGTGGGCAGGGGCGGTGCTTGGATGTGGGACTTGTCATCTGGGATCTGTTTTGTTGCCCCCTGTTGTGTTTTTTGGCTGTTCCCTTCCTCTCTTCTTTTCCTCTTTGCCTTTTGGCTGTGTGCAAGTGGGTCGATATGACACACGGGGGTGGGGGCAGCCTCCGCTCAACCTACATTCGCGTGGGCGGCCTTGTAGGCAAGAGGTTCTGAACAGGGGGAGTTATAAGGAAGAAGATAAAAAACTGAATTAATTTTTTCTTGTTTTTCTTTTTTTTTCACGTTTGCGCTCTGATTTTCATGTGACAACATATATATAAATGAATGGTTTTACTGTGCCCTTCGTGCTTGTCTAATTGTTTTATTTTTTTATTTTTGCCGTGTGTTTCGCAAAGTGCTCTCTTTTAGTTCATAGTTATGTGACAATATATATGGTCAAATAGAACTTCCCTGGAAACTGTCGGCAGAGTGGGAGAAGAGGACAACAAGCAAGGTGATGTGACAAACTGTTTCGTCGGAGTTGCACCGAGTCCTCATATTCATTGATGCTTAACTACAACCAGGGTCAAGGTGGATTATCACTTACAGTGTAATCAGTTGAGGGTTCAGCCTCCTGTTGAGTTGGTGAAACTCCGACGAAACAGTTTGTCACAGACCCTCGTTTGTTGTTCTCTTCTCCCTCTACTGGGCAGTTCTGTTTGATGATATATATATGCAGGGTTACGAGCATTCAGGTTCGGCCGAACCCCCGAACTCGAACGCCTGAACATTCAGGACCCCCCATCCACGAGTTCAGCCTGAAGGTGAACATTTTTTAGTTTTTTATCTTGAATGTATTGCGGAGGGGGCCTTCATCACACTGTATATTTTATAATAATAACAAAAAAAGCTGGGCAGTGAGGCAGTTTGCCTGCTGAACGGCAGGAACCCCTCCCAGCATGTGTGTGTGCTTGGGGGTTGGGGGGGGGGGGGTGTTGGGCAACCCCCGTGCTCCAATCAATCAATCAATCAATCAACAAAAAAATTCCATTAAAAAATGGAAGCAAGAATGTGGGCGCGTGTGCATGTGTGTGGGTGCATTTTGGATTTTTGCCGCAACAGCCCCTATTCTACCCATATGAACAAATCCAAAATCAAAGCATATTTAATCCTATAACAGAACGAAAGTCCTCGAGTTCAGACAACCCAACAATGAAACAGTCTCACCTCAACAGCAAGCAACATGAAGTACAATAGCTGCATGTAAACCCCTTTCTTGAATGTCTTCACATTTGCTTTCCTCGGGTTACCGTTCTCATTTGTTCTTGCAGCTCCCCATTTACTATGCGTCTCATGCACAAGGCTCGCCACATTGACCCCTTTCATTTGTTCTTGCAGCTCCCCCTTTACCGTGCCTGTCATGCAGAAGGCTCGCCATCTTGATTGTGGTTGAGCGCGAGCTGCCCACATCCCCGTGTGCCATAATGGCCCAGTTGCACACTATGAAAGGAGGCAAAGCAAAGGCGGAGGTATATTCCTGCTCATTTCTTCTCAGATCATGAACGTATATATTTTGTCTGTTCTGATAATGATGCTCATTTGTATGTATTACTAGTAATAGACAAGAGGAGGGAGGAAGGAAATGGGAGGTGGAGTTCTGACAGGGTTCTAAATATTGACCGCTGGCGCAGAACGCTCTAGAACGGTGTAGGAGGCCAGTCAGTGTATGGGTTGCATAAGATTTGAGGAGCAGTTGTTCCCTATGGTAAGTGGCCACCTCTACAGGTGGGGCAGGACCGGTTTGGGTGTGGCCTGTGGAAGCACCAATCCAATGCAAACAGTTACAGTTACTGCATTGAATGGCACGGTGTAGACAGATGTCACAGTTTACATGGCTCCTACATCCTAAGAGCACAGAGGCACGTCGACCACAATTGTAGAGGCATTGCCGTTCCAGCCCGTTTACAAATTGGACATGACATGTCAGGGTGCTGTACATGAGTGCAGTATAGACTGTCGCCCAGGCTATCGCTTCATAATCCTCGTGGCATAGGGCATGTGAACCACTCCGGTGGGTCATCACAAAGTGGCATGGAGCAAGTTTCTTGGGTTTCTGCAGTATTTATTCCCTCTCTGTGGGTAGGCGACAAATCGGGGAGATTGATCCAAAGCAAGGGCATTCAGCTGCTGCAGGATTTGGTTTGCAACAGCTCGCCCTGGTGGACACAACCTATCAGTACAGGGCTCGGTAGGTGGGTCATATGGTAATCTATTTTCCTCCTCAGGCTGCTGTGCCCGTCGTTCGTCAGGCAAGGAAGAATGAATTCCGACTGCGGTGGAAGTAGGTGTATGACCAACACTGCATGTGGGACATGCTAGGAGAGGATATGGCGGATGATGGCACCGGGGATAGTCCACCCAGTAGAGACACAAGCATTCTATGACAGCTTCCTGGAAACATTGACGGCACATGACATGTTGCTGACATGTCATCAGCAAAGAAGGCTGACGTGCGCAATTATTCAAGCACCGCAGATCAAGGTGCAATGAACCCAGATTGTGAAGACAATGTCAACAGTGTAAGTTCAAAATGTCAAACAGCTGATGATAGTCAATAATCAAAATCATAGCCAGATACCCAATAGATGAGAAGACATACACAGACGAAGGAGGTGAGAGGGAGAAGAGATTGAGACAAGAGGGAGATAGACAGTGCCCACTT